CGCTTACTATATTCAATTTTGTTATATCTTGATACGTTCCTCTAAAATGAAAGACTCCCACATAGTCCAATAGAAAACCTATTTCCACATTACAAACTGTTCATTAATATGTTGGAGCTTACACTTTTTTTTTCTTCGAAATCTCGAGCATTATTCATTTACTACAACCAACGTATTTCTTAATGCCTAGTCATTCATTTACTACTAGTCTTAAGCTGAAGTTAGCGCATCATTTTGAAAATTCAACTGAAGAAAGCAAATTTGAACCTAGTAAATCGAGCTTGAGAGATGCCTAAAAATAATTTACTCTAATACCATCATAAAACTCTTTAGGTCCTAGGTGGCCTACGACCAACATTATAACCCAATTTAACCATCCTAGGTCAAAACAAGTTGATAAGATCTTCGTTTTTAAGTTTCGTGTCCCTTCCATGTGACGACGTAGAGATGTCAAAAAAAAAAAAAAAAAAAAAAGAGAAGGAAAAGGCTATTTCCAACCGAAGGCTGGCCAGATGGCTCGTTTTAACCCTCTAGCCCTCCAAGATATTAATATTTTAATGAACAATACATGGCAATATTTAGCCTTGTCACACAAAATCGTCTCCAACTGAGGGCCAAAGGGTCATAAGGTCAAACATAATTTATTATTTAAAAACTACAACTTAAATTCAAATCCAACGGCTAAGTGACGTTAGCTAGCCATTGGATTTGAATTTTTTTTTTTGTTGCTATAAATAGGGTGGATGTTGGGCTATAATTCAAAAAACTTCGAATTCAATCCATTTCAATTCAATCTCTTTCAATTCAAGTTTGCAATGAATTCTAACTTTGGGTCCTCTTTGGATTCCAACTGGGGGTCCTCATCCAAATCCAAACTGGAAGAAAAATTGGCGCAGATGAAACAAGAAGATGAAGAGTCTAATGAAGAAGCTGAAGTAAGGCACAACAAACAAAACAAGTAGTAGCCATGGTTGCAACCATGGTGTGTCAGCCAACTGAGGAACAACCTTAATGGGGTGGCTTTGTTGCTGGTCACTCTTACAAACCACAAAACAGAGTGATGACATATGCCAATCTGATGAACAACTACTTCAACCCCAACTCGGTGTACACAAAAGAGGATTTCAGAAGTCGCTTCCGGATGAGGTGTTATGTCTTTGAGCGTTTGCTTTGTGATGTCTAGCAGGTCAATCATGTTGGGTTTTTACGGCTCAAAATTAGGATGATGCAAAGAATTAGGTTTGTGTTACCTATTTGGTTTTGGTGTCCTATTTGGGTTTGGATTTTGACTTCTTGGTTTCCTTGGTGGAGAGATTTTGTTAATTACCTATTTGATTAGGATTTGGATTTACTTCATATTAGGATTCTTATTGTAACCTAAGTCATATGCACTATAAATAGGACATTAGGGTTAGTGTATTTTGTGTGGCTCATTCGTGTGACAATTTAGTGAGAGTCAATTTGTGAGTTTGTGAGTTAAAGAGCAATTTGGGAGAATCTTCTCCGTTTGTTTGAGTTCTCTACTCGTTTGGTTTAGGGTTTGTAATTTGTGGGATTTGGGTTGTGAGAGTTTAAACACTCATTTGTAATCTCCGTTTATTTAGTGAAATTCTTTGCCGTGCTTCGTCCATGGAGTAGGCTTTACGCCAAACCACGTAAATCTCTTGTGTTAGTTTGAGATTGTTTGTTTTAGCTTTCACCTAAGACGTTGATATTTGGTACTTTGTTATAATTCGCTTCCGTTTAAGCATAAAAGTACAACAAATCCATACTTTCGACATAAGCGGGACATAGCAGGCCGTCCTGGTTTCTCACCTCATCAGAAGGTTACTGTTGCACTATGAATGATAACCTATGGCTCCCCAATTGATTCGATGGATGAAACCCATGGTATGTCTGAGTCTACATACCTTGATACTCTTACTGAATTATGTGACACAATTGTTCAGCTTTACAAAGACGAATACCTCCGCGAGCCAAATTAAGAATATCTGGATTGGCTCATTCGCAAAGCTGAAAACCATGGGTTTTCGGGCGTTATAGGGTCATTAGACTACTTGCATTGGGATTGGAAGAACTGTCCCACTAGATGGCAAGAAGGCTTTTGCAGAAGGTCGAGAAAGCCAACTGTTGTGTTAAAGGCGATTGCCTCGTATGACACATGGATTTGGCATGCTTTCTTTGGAGTCCATGGATCCCAAAATGACATTACAGTTCTTGGGCTTTCACCCCTTTTCAATACCCTGACGGAAGGTAAAGCACCTCAACTTGACTACTACATCAATGACCTTCAGTACAATATGGGGTATTACTTGGCAGATGACATCTACTCGAAGTGGGCGACACTTGTCAAAGCAATTCTAAACCCTCGGAATGACGCCGGAAATTTGTTTACCTTACACCAAGAGGCATATCGAAAAGATGTTGAGAGAGCTTTCAGTATTCTACAAGCACGATGAAAGATTATCAGCGAACCGGTAAGAGGGTGGAGTTGAGAAAATTTGGACTACATCATGATGTCTTGCATCATATTACACAATATGATTGTGGAGGATGAGCAAGATAGGTATATTGATGGAGAGTCCGATGACGACCAAGACGATCCAAATGGGTCAAGAAGGGCTTGTGCAAAAATATATGAGGAGCCTAATTTGCCTTTCAATCCAAGAATTAGTAGTATATCTGTAAATGATCACATGAGGCTATAGAATGATACGTTTCCGTGCCACAAACAAGTACCTACAATATGATCTTGTTGCACATCTTTGGGCAAAAAATAGCATGGAATAAGCGTTTAAGTTTTATGTTGTTAAATGTTTTTAAAAATGTTGTTTAAGTTTCATGTTGTTAAATGTTTTTATTTATGTTGTATAATTTTCATGTTGTTTAATGTTATTTAATGTTGATTAATATTGTCTAATGTTGTTTAATATTGTCTAATATTGTCTAATGTTGTTTAATATTATCTAATATTGTTTCATGTTACTTAATGTTGTTTCATGTTACTTAATATTATGTAATGTTTAATGGTTTAGGAAGTTATAGGGGAAAAAAAAGAATTTTTAAATTATTTAAACAAATTTTGTAAAAAAAAAATTTGAAAATAACGGCTAGCCGTTGGGTTTTTGAAATCTGGCCCGGAACCAGCTGACTGGCTCATTTGGGCCAGCCGGTTAACCTTTTGGTCCTTTTTTGTCCAGTGGGGCCCACGATCCCTCTGACCTGGTCCTCAGTTGGAGACTGTTTTCGCGTTGTTTTGTATTCTCTGACCCTCTAGATCATTCGATTGGAGATGGTTTAAAGTAGCAGGTCCCCAACAAAAGGCCGCACGATGGCCTATTAATTGGTGCAGAGTTTTATAATACAAAACCTCGATAACATTAGTAATTATTCTACCACTTATAAGTTAATCTACTCAGCATTTGCTCTACTAAATACGTACGTCCAGTCACCCCTCCCCCCCTCTCAAAAAGGATAATCGACATTATCCTCCAAGATAAACGGGATATGGGTGATCGTATGCCTTAAGATAAAAAGAGCAATACTTATTCAAAGCTGTGTTTATAATATCAGTATTAGTAAAAACATTGATATTTAAATTTGTGAAAATATCGTTAGATATATCGAATATGGATATTGCTATTGGTCTCAATAGAAATGAAGGAAATTTAAAATGAAATTTTAGAAATTACCAAACACGAGTTTGAACGAAATATAAAAGTCTTTCTAATATTTAACAAATGTGTCAAAAAATATCTATCAATTTTAGTCTAAACTCAAACATTTCTCCCATATAAAATGAAGTGAAGTTCAGATTTTACCCTCAATTTAAATTTTCAATCATATTAAAGAAATTTTAAATATTAATTCTAGGCTACAGTAGCAAATAAAATTTACCACGTAACCGTCGTATTATCCCATTTCTCTCTCTGTCCATTCTCTCGTAAAGTAAAGGAAGATTTTCGAAAAACACAAAGTAAAAGGTGTTTTGTTTCCTTTTCATTTTAGTGATTTTCCTTCCTTAAACACCTCAGAAAAGACGAGAGAGAGAGAGAGGTGACGTATCTTATTGGACTTGTAGTGTAGGGCATCAGAAACGAGGGAGGGATGGGAAGGGAGCTGGTATGGGATGGGGTGAAGAAAGAGAAATTTTTAGTTGTGACAGGAACACAAATGATACATTATGTGTTTTTCTATAAGTGGTAAAAATTTTAATTTTTAAGTTATTAACCTTTTATCACACAGAATCTACTATTTATATAAGAACACGTGGTATACCACCTCAGGTGATCGTCACATTGAAAAATCTATGGTGAAGAAGGAGAAATTTTTTAGTTTGTCAGGCTAGCACATTAAACATCATTATATAAGTGGTTAAAAAGATTTTCTCAAGTATACAATCATGAAATTTTTTATTTTTTTTTTGAAGTATCTAATAATTTGAATTATAACACTTAGTTTACCTGATTGTATTTTGATACACTAAAAAATCTCTCAGTGAAAAAGGGATTTAATTGGGTGTGAGCGAGGACAGGAAGGCAGGCAAGAAAAGAGTGAAGGGGAGGGTTTCATCAGAACCGAGGGAGGGGGAAAAGTGGGGAGAAGAATAAGTATGATGATGATACATGATAGGGTTTGATATCCATCCTTCGTAAAATATGCCTCCTGTAGCCTTCCCTCTACGAGTAGGATTCCAACCATCCGTCGATTCTGTTCAGATTTCTTCTCTGCTGTCTTCTCTTCTCATTTTCTTTTTGACCTAACTTACCCCTCTCTCTCTCTCTCTCTCTCTCTCTCTCTGTGAAAAGAGTACTGAAACCTATCTCTCAATAAATTAATTACACCGACAACCTCCCATCCCATTTATTGTGAGTACGTAATAAAATAAATAGAACCATCTGCCTCTCCTAACCCTAATAAGCCTTCACTCCTCTCCAATATATACGTACGTTATCGCTGTCCATCTCTATCTGTTTCTGTGTTAGAAGAATTGTATGCGTGGGTCTCGTAGCTAGCTCTGTAAACGTGGATGATCACGTGGGTTTCGCAAAGCGTTTCTTACAGAGTTCTTTGGCATTCTGTCCACCTCCTCTTTCTTCGATCTCTTTCTCCCTCTCTTGCTGTGTATGTATGTGGTTTAATGGATGGAGGTGGGCATACTGCCAACAGAGTTCTGTTGGATTCTCTTTGTAAAACCCTCGTGAGTGTATATATGTATCGTTACGCAGTACTCGATCCTCCTCAAGACACAAGGGTAAGAACTATTCATCTGCAACGGCATCAGTTTCTGGTGGTGCTGCTAATCCTGATTCCCCAGTTCATTACATTTCCCTATTTTGTACAAATCAGATGTTTTTTTTTCATCCCATAATTTATTGGTCTGTTAATTTGCAGGGTCCAAGAATTATGTTGCCTGTTGAGCACTCTTGAACAGCGCAACCATCACCAGTGTACTCTTGAAATTTGTTTCTCTTTGACCAATTACACTTCATTTTGTGCCTGTTGAGCACTCTTGAAATTTGTTTCTTTTTAATAATTGATTGGTGCCGCGACTGCTGATGATTGGGAAGTAGCTAGCTAATGGAGCCCTAGTTTCCGATTGTGTTTTGCTTACTTGTGTAGATATATACCCAATTTCTGAAATCTTTAGTTTCTTACCTCATCAATGAGGGGATCAATCTTTTACACATCCCTGTTTACTTCTCACACACCCTTTTAAATTTTCAGCCGTCGGATCAGATAAATTGAAGAAGATTAACGGCGAAAAATTAACAAAGGTGTGAGAAATAAAAAAATGTGTGTGGATAATATCCCCTTAAGGTTTTCTGAGCCTATTTCTGTTTGTTCTTTGTTTTTTACTAGGGGGCGGGACAGAGGGGCTCAAACAACATAACGAAATCAATTAACCTATAGCTAGGGTTATCAACTCCTAAGAGATCATATGGGAGGAAGCCAAGGAAGCAGGATGAGGGAGGTCAAAGACTCTAAACAAAGGTAGCATTTGATGATGGACAAGAAACATCATTAGAACGCTGTCAGAACAAAAGTGATGGCTAAGGCTTCCTCAAGTGTTGTTATCTTTGACATTAATGCTATCTTTATTAGCAGTGATTCCTGTTTCTTTTCTTTTCTTTTCTGATGTGTAATGATGCTGATTACAAGATTAAATCAATACCAATACAAAGCGGTATATTAGTGATCATGGCATGCATGCATGCCTGCCACAGTTGTGTTTAGTGTCAGTGATTTGTGTTTTAATTATGGTTTTCTGGTGGACCAACGTCTTTTAATGTCACGACCGATGAGGCCATTGCAGCCCTACCACTTACTCAAGTCGAGAAGAAGGAGAATGCGTTTCTACTGTCTGATATCTTCCACTCTTCTCCCCCAAGGCCTGTACCTATTGCCATAATACCTACTTAGCAACGTAGGGTTATGATTGAACCACTGACGATGCCAATAAATAACGCAGGGAAGAAACATCATCCCACACACCCCTCTCTTGGCTCGTTCGTGATTGACGGTTAATTACCATATAACTTGGGTGATGGGTGATATTTATCACCACTCACATTTCTTCGACTTGTTTTGGAGAGTCTCTATAACGTCGTTATAAACGAATGGGGGTGGACTACTTTCAACTGGTTGAAGGCAAAAACGGAAAAGGAGAAGAAATGATTAATGCGAGCCTCCTATATACCTAATTAATTTTGAATAAACGCCATGCAAAATTGAATAATTAGTGTTTTCTGGAGTGGAGCGGGATCGCTTTCCGCTGTGGTGGGCCGGTGGCCACAATCCTTTGTTGGCTATATGCCCCTCAACGCCTTACCTGCTTACCACTCACATGCACGTTACATCACGAGCTCAGTCAATATTCCTTCGTTTTATTCAAAGAGTAATCTTTCTTCCGTTGACCTGAATCCCAGGGCAACTGTGACCCGGGGTATTTTCTACCTCTACATATGTAGAAGACAACGTGAAAAAATAAGGAAAATTACCATGTTCTGCAAGGCTGCAAGTGATGAAAAGGGAATCCGTAAACTAGCAAAAAGGAAATCTGCAGTTTCACTTCACTCGCATAAGATATTAAGAAAAATTAATGAAAAAAGTTTGAAAACTTTTTGTTTTAACGATAATGACAAAATAAATGGTAAAGTGAATAGTACTAATATTGACTTTTTAGTATAAAAATATAATTTTTCGTTAAAATAAACAATACAGAGAGCTTTTCGTTAAAGTTCATAAGATATTATTATTTGTCTTCATGATTGATGAAAGCACGTTTAATCCCTTCATCTGTTCAAGGAAAAGCATTGGAACGAGAACCGCCACCATCACCATTGCCACGGTTTACAATAAAGTTTTGAAAAGAAGAAAGGTTTTTAATTAATAGATTAAAACTCCTCATGAACCTATATAAGTACTGCCCACAGAGACAAATGATGTTGATTGTTGAAATCTATCCTTTAGTTTAGACATGATGATTTCTCACATCTCTGTAAACCCATTAAATACAAACAAGTCAGTATTTGTAATCCAAAAAAAAAAGTGATAGATTTACATATATCAGTCTTGTACAATAAAAAGCGCAAAACAAGTGCACTCAATGGTTATATGTTACATCACCGTTCAAGGGTCGTTGTTCTAAAAAAAAAACTTTATAGTTGTCTAAATATTTAGAAATTGCTAGACAAAACAAAAATGAAAATAAGTAAAATCAAGTAGGTAACCCAATTAATTTAACCAAACAGAGACTATACTAGTGTACCATCTCAAGTGTCAAGTGACTCATACAAGTAATATTCAATAAGATAAATTCATTAATTTACGTGACAAGTACACATCACTTGTCATGTTATATGATATACCAATATTATTACCATCTGCATCTAGTATTTGGTTATTGTGAATTATAATTGTGATATCGGTGTCTTGCACATTATTATATTTGGTGGAACTCTTTTTACCAAAAGAATTGTGCTCTTTTCACTAAAGAATTGTATGATTGCATTACATATTTGTGTCCATATGGGGGTGGGGTTGGCATCATATATTCTCTCACGGGACCAAGTTAACTTTCTCTTCGTTTTTACTATAAAATTGGATGATTGCTTTTATCGTTTCATGTCCAAGTACATAGGGTGGAGGATGTCAAAGATGAGGAAGTGGATTCTCATCCTATTTGGTGTAAACAAGTATTAGCAACCGTGGGAAGCATTGAGCCGCCAGTCAGTTCCCAGTGCGTAGAATAAATGTTGTTTCGTCTTATAAGTAGAAGCTACATCCATAATTAATCTTTCTAAGTTACTTGTTCCAAACAGCATATCTGTGGCCGCTGGTTGCCAGTGTCCACTCCCTACTGGCCGGGCACCATGAACCATCCCCAATTTTCATGCAGATTTTCTCCCCTATTATAGCAGAGTAGAGGTTCGGCTGGGCCTCCAGGATCGTAATAGATGATCGGCTGTGAATGTCTTGACGCTTCCTGATGTCAATCTGCAGACAAGTGCCAATGCTAACAAATGAGAAACGTTTGTTCAAAAAGCATCAAGTCCAAAAAGGGAACTGCCTATGGCCGTATACTGCATACCAGTTTCACAATCTGATCATGAATGGAGTCACCCCAATCATAGAAATGATCGTAGAAAACTGTTGGTATTCCTGGGTGCATGAGTATGTATGCGTAACCCTGCGGAAAGCATTGACGTGGAAGTTAGCGAACTTGCACTCCAATTTTTAGGTAGGTAATAAGAATTATTCCCATATTAATTAGAATATAGCAGCTGCCAGCAATAACAACAATGACAAGAATATTATGCATCTGGATTTCCCATCTAAATGCAAAGCATTTGAACTTAATAAACAAGTTTTCGTACCTCCATAATATGATTTGAAGGGAAGGGCCAATGAGCCTGCAAGACAAAATGATTATAATGTGAGTGGATTTCCTACTTTCACTATGGAGCCAAAAGGTCACTTTCTGAAATGATAGGTACCACAGTAACATAAATGAGATACTTTTGTATGCAGTGAAAATGTAGTTTTATACAGAGAAAGTATTAATCAGGGTTGTTTAGGCCCAAACTTGACCTGTTCAGCCCAAAAGATTGTAAGTCTAAGTTCTCACTTCTCAATGATATTTACTTCAGCAGAACAGAATAGCAATCGTACCTGTGTTGAGCCTGTATCATGGTTATCAAGGAATGTGACAGCTCTCGACGGCCACCATCCAATTAAACCTGGTGGCTTCCCTTGGGGGTCACGCAGGCGCCACAATTGTCCTTTAACAGCTTCCTGCAATGAATGCATGGATAAATGTCCAAACACCAAACAAGAAAATAGGAAGGGGCGGTGGCAACCGGAAGAAAAAGGAAAGGGAAATGGTATTCGTTGATGAAGAGATATTTTGATGAGTATGGACGTTATTACAATCTAGAAAAAAGGTGGCCAGTACTACGGATACAGCAGACGGAACAGACTTGGAAGGGGTACTAGTATTCATAGAATCATAGGTGAAGAGAGATTTTGATGAAGATTGCTACATGTTTTCTTTTCTGATATATAATAAAAAGGTTCACCAGTACATGTTTTCTTATATATAAAGGGTTCACCAGGACTCATTATTCGTGATTGCAGACGTCCATTCTTAACAAACTGTTATGTATGTGTGTTAAGGGATGGGCTGCAGTTGGATATGCCAGTTTGTTTGCAAATGGAAGATACCTGAAGAATTCCCTTGGTTGTGAAGTCAAACGCAGTTGATAGCTGTCCAGTGCCATTGATCCAATTTACTATCCGCTGTCTGTGGCTATCTGCATAACATTACCAATCATGATAAAGATCAAACAGTCAGCTCAATGCTAAATCCTCAGTAGAAAGAGATTTGATCACTGAACCCATTTAAGACAGCAAATTACAATACAGGTCAAATGGAAGGGCAAAAAGGAATGCTATCAACAGGGATAAGCTACCCTTTATACGGTAGTATGCAGTGTCAAACTTATTAAGTTCTTCAAGCCCAATACCCTGCACATCTCAAAACCATATAATCCAATACCTTGGTTGTAATCCAGGCCATGATCGTTATAGTTGCAAGAGTCCCAATACTCCCCAACAGAAAAAATTGGTTTTGCTCCTTCAATGTATTCTTTCACATATTTTGCTGAATAACTATTGTAACATTGAAAACACGTAATGGCCAATTAAATCAAAGACAAGGAAAAAAGAGTAAGCAGTGAATAAACCCAGTTACAAACGAAACGAAACTCAATTTTATGCATGTATATGTCTTACCCCCTTGCAAAATCAAATCGGAAATCCTGAAAACCAACATTATTACGTAGCCACTGCAGCCATCCTGTAATATCTTTTCGAACAAAAGGTTGGCTATGATCAATATTCGGAACCCCATGGAAATTGTCACCAGTACTTCGATTACCCTGATATATAAAATACAGAGAAAAACAATGAGCTTAACAGACATTGCATCATGAATCATGCAGAGTCATTCAAGCAGTGACAGATTTCATTACCAGTCCACCGGTACAAGATGTGACGCACGTTTCATCCCATGACAATGAATTCCATCATAGCGGTGTACATTCCACCATGCCTCGGTAGTCCCAACACGATGATTGATAACAATGATCAGCCATTGCTCTAAACTTATGTTGCTTTCATTTTTTGAAGTAGATTTATAAGTTCTCGGATCATATTAGAATTGAGGGAATATGATGGAGGTAACCTACAATAAGAGAAATAAGAAAAAAACATGGATGGTCCAATCAATCCTATATGCAGAGAAATAAGAAACCAGCCTAGAAAATTTGTGCAATCAACCTTCTGTGCAAAGGATTGAGTGCTGGTGCACCATGCTGACGTAAAACCAGATCTTCTATTCCGGAACTTTTTGTTTCTAAATTTCCCAGAAAATCATGTTTATGAGACTCCCAATTGAAGGCCTGTAGATATAGTTCAGTCAAACCATATTCTTGATTAAGCTGAGAGCTATATTAGCTTTAATGCAACCAAAACAATTTACCATCATTACAGTATTAAGTAAATAAAAAAAAGTTTGAAACATACAGCTGCGACCGTTTTACTTATCCAACAATACAGAACACCGCGGTTTAATCACTTCAACTATATATTTTATGTATAAAATGGCTCCGACAAGTTGTTGTACATATGTAGTATATATATGGAAACTGTCAAATTTACCTGAAAAAGGATTTCTCTTCCATTGCGCACTGCTGCACCTGCAAATGAATCCGAAAGCATACTTTAGTGTCAAGAAAAGGAAGATACGTAAAATGTTCTCAATGAACCAAGCATTCTAATGTCAGAAAATACCACATTTATATGAACACAAGATAACTAGAGAGCTTAATCTATGCCTATTCAACATGTGCAGTTATAATTCTTAATGTTCGTGATTGAAATTTCCAAATTCACAAGAGAAAGTACGATCTGCCTTTTCATACGGCCTATTTGAATCCCTTATCCCCTTTAATCACAGAGAATTAATGGAAAGCATCACCGGGCAAAAGCAAAAGCATACCAATATCATTCTGCTGCGCGTTTTCTCGTGAATCCTGCATTTTATCAAAATGGAAAATTAGAGAAAGGAAGTCCTCTACTCTTGTGTATGTGTGTGAATGAGTGAGAGAGATTGAGAAGGCGTGTATACATTGCTGCGTAGGTAACCCATTCGACTCAGGATGTAGTTTCCCAACTCGGCACCGGATTGCAAATAAGGCACCAACAGTTAATCCTACATGGATGAACAACATGAGTGCACCAAAACATTGGCCAGATGACCATAAAGCTATAAAATCACAATTGACTAGCACAAAAAATAGAGGAGAAGACATTAAAATCTTGCTGATGATAAACGTTCATCCGTTTCGTCTCATATTTCGCGAGAACAAAGTCATACAGGTTAAAATTAATAAAACCCAACACGAATGTAAGCACAAGTGTATTTAATTTGCTCAACTACAAGTCTACAACTAGAAGATGATTCCATGAGCTTGAAATGTGAAAAAATGCAGGGCTTCGGACCTTTTACGCATTCTTAAATTCTTAATAACGAATTTCAAGGGGGAGAAAATTGAGACGTACCGAAGGCTCTACGGCTGGCTGCGAATGCGGTTGTGGGTTTGTGGTTGTGCCGTTGGGCAACATAAATAGCACAAACAAAAAGCAGAAAATTCGAGGGAGACCACCGAATTCGAATCACGCCGACGAACGACACAAGTTGAAAAGGTGAAAAGAGAATATTGAAAGCTGTGCTGTAAAAGGAAGAAAAAGGATTCGATTGCGAAACGCGATGGAGGGAAGGGAGACAAGGATTGAAGGGAATGTTCATACTCCCGAGGCCGCTCTCATGCCTCATGCTGCAGACTGCAACATGAACCGTAGAAACGATGTACGGATACATTGAAACGTGGCATTTCACTATAGACTTATAGGGGGGAGGGCGTTTGTTGCGTCGGTCTATCTCGTACTTGACTAGCTTCAAGGATTAAGTTGGACTGGCTTAGACTAGACTAAGCTGAACTAACTTAATGAAGCGTTTGGTGCAGTGTTGGACTAAAAAACTGAATAATAACAAATTCTATATTATTTATTAATATATAAATTATTAATGATTTATTAAATCTAGGTAACCGGAGATGACGGGGGAGTCTATCGGAATGGTCGTTGAGCATGACGAGGTCGAAGATGATAGCCTTAGCAGTCCATGGTTATTGGGGGGTCTCGTAAGACTCTTTCAGGGTTTTGTCTTTATGCTAGTCCGCCTTTGTAAATCATTGTATCCCAGCATGGAACAAATTACAGTAATTGGACTACAGCTATACCAGTCCAGTCATTAAACGCCCCCGGAGAGGCGTAAGAAAAAGTAACTTAACTTGGGGCTTATATTTTCCTTCCAATCTTGGCCTATCTTCGGCCCAACCGAAAAAAAAAGGCACCCACCAATGGCGCGTACGGGCTCTGCGATGACTTCGAAACTTACGCCAATTGCTCGCTGATTCGCACAGCAATTCAAGGGCCACTTCAGGGCACCCCAGTAATTCAAGCCAAAACAAAAATAAGAAATTCAAAGGGAAAATTGAAGACGTACGGAAGGCTCACGGCTGGCTGCGATTGCGGTTGTGGTTTGTTGGTTGTGCGTGGGCACATAAATTAGCACAAACAAACTTGAAGAAATTCGAGAGACACCGAATTCGAACACAACGAGAACGACACAGTTGAAAGGTGAAAAGAGAATATGAAAGCTGTGCTGTAAAAGAAAAAGGATTGAATTGTCGAGCGATTGAGGGCAGGGAGACAAAGGATTGGAGGAATGTTCGATACTCCCCGAAGGCCGCTCTCCATTCCTACTCACTTGTCAGCAAACCATTACCGTAGCACAGGACATAACTTGAACGCAAGAGTAAAGACTTATACTGATTTGTTGCGACGGTCATTCGTATTGAAGCGTAGGATTAAGGGAGGGGCTTCTGTTCGGCTAACTTAATAGCTTGTCAGTAGTGGACTAGAAATATAATAAGAATTCTAATATTATATTATTTAATATAATAATTTTATATTTTTTATAATCTAGGTAACCGAAGATGACGAGAGTCTATCGGGAATGGTCGTTGGAGCAGACGAGTCGAGAAGATGATAGTCTTAGCTAGTTCATGGTTATTGGGGGGGTCTCGCTAAGACCTGTTTAGGAAGATTTTGTCCATGCTAGTACCTTTAGTCTCATCAGATGTTAGTTTCCAAGTAAGGCAAATGAGTCAGTATTGAACTACAGCTAGTCCAGTCTAGTCCAGTTAAACGCCCCCTGGAGATGGCGTAAGACCTATAACTTTAGGCCTTGGGCCTTAGTATTTCCCTTTCCAATCTGGGCCTATCTTCGGCCCAACCGAAACAGAAGGACCCACCAATGCGCGTGGGCCTGCGAGACTGACTTCGAACTTCCCAAGTTCGCTCGCATGATTCGCACAGCAAATTCAAGGGCCACTTTCAGGGGCACCCCAGTAATTAAGCCAAAACAAATTAGCAAAGTAAAACATGGTCTCGTTCTAGGGTTTTATCGGGGTACAGAGAAAACTGCAAGTTTGCAAGATGCCTACTTCCTGTTAATTGAAATGGAGTGTCCTCCACCAACGTTAACAAGCCCCACTCACATCACTGACAATCCAGATACGAAACCCACTAGGTCACCGCCGTCGCCGTGGCCACAAGAGCCCGACCCCAAGAAGCTCAAAATGTCCACCCACCACCTGACGGACGAAGAAGCAACCCGGCGGGGACCTAACGCGCTAAAACGCCACGAAAGCGCCGAAGAATATCTTCGCATCCGAACAGAACTGCAAAATCCCGCCAAAACATAAAGGGACCGAAAAGCATACCACTTTCATAAGCCGGTTTTAGCGACCGCAACACCTGAAGAGAGGGCCCGCTTCCAGCACCGATAAAGGGGGAGGCCTTCCAGGTGTTCTCTTACCTTTTATGTCGATCGCGGGTTCATGACCAGCAATTCAAAGCGCGTTTCTCCTCAGATTCGGATTTTCGGCTACAAACGCGTCACGGCGTCGTTTAACGCGAAGAAGTTCTGTGATCGGAGAAGGTATGTGTATCTGATTCCCGTATTTGCTCTTGATCCTTCTGCTCATCGCGATAGAGGGAGCGTGTTGGCTAGTCTTGGGTCTGATCAGAGTTGTTAAGTTGCTTGGATGCTCGAAAGGGCATAAGTCGGGGCTTGAGTAAGCGCACGTATGAATTGAGAGGTACGAATTTTGAGGTAAGCATTTCGTCCAACACCAATGAGTCTATGGTTGAATCTGAAATTGGTGAAAAATTAAGGGTTCTTCCCGGAAATGCTGGCTGTGATAATTTGATTTCTGAGACCAGAAATGAAGTTAGCTTAGAATTAATGAAGAAATTAGGTTCTTACGGAGAATGCTGGGGTTGATAATTCGAATTCTGAACTCAAAACTGAAATTAGCATTAGTATTAATAACAATGAGGTTACTGAAATTGAGGTTGAGAATAATCGAGTGGTCCCCAATGAGGCAGAGGCTGCTGATTTGAATTCGGAGTCACTAGATGATACGAATGTTAGTTTTGGTGAAGAGAAGGCTAATGAAAAAGAGAATACAGAGGAAGGAAGTGGAAAAGGAAATGGGTTTTGTTATGGTGAGAAGGAGAGGGAAAGGTTCAACAAAATTTTGAATAGTTATGAGGGGACTCATAACTTCCACAACTTCACCACCAGAACTAAAGCGGTAGACCCGCTGCTCAGCGCTACATTATTTCATTCAATGCGAACACCACGGTTACAGTTGAGGGTATGGAATTCGTTAAGTGTGAGGTTGTGGGGCAGAGCTTCATGCTTCATCAGATTAGGAAGATGATCGGGCTTGCGGGCATCTTTCAGGAGTGCCCAGAAGTCATGTTCGAAAGAGCATTGCAAAAGTAAGTATTTGGATGATCATAGTATGTTTGTGTATGCTTTTTGTTTTTTTGATTTTGAGAAAGTATGTATGTTTAACTGAGTTTTTTATGCACAAAAATTCAGGGATGTTAACATCAATGTGCCGACAGCTCCTGAAGTTGGATTGTACTTGGATGAGTGCTTCTTTTCGTCATATAACCAGAAATGGGGAGACAGTCATGAAGAGCTGTCAATGAAAGGCTATGAACAAGAGGCAGAAGACTTCAAGATGAAGCATATATACACTCACATAGCATCCACCGAGCATAAAGAAGGTGTTGTGGGTCTCTGGTTGCACTCCCTCAACCACCGTAACTATCCGGATTTAGGTCCTGCTGAGAACAATGGAAATACCAGCAACGGAATAAGTGCTGATACGGGTAATGTCGTTGCTGAGTAAGTTTTTTTTTTTTTTTTCCCACAGGGAATCCGATTTCTTCAATGTATGCCTTTTATTTCTTCAATGAATACAGCATCTAGCTCTAATGTCTTTTAGGGAAAACAAAAGATGTGGCCCAGTTTCATTCATGGTTTAGGTTACTTGCTGTGTAATTCTTCTTAGAGAGGAATTTATGATTACAGAAGGGTTTTAAGAAAGTTGATTTATCCCACAGGTTCCTTTCTCTCCTAATTTTTTTTTGTCCGTGGTTCATCATATCCATAGCCGATGGACGTGCATATATTTGTAAGTTGAAAATTGGGACATTGACCCTTAAACTATGGCCAATTTGTATCTTTGGCTTCTCAACTTACATTCCATTAACATCAATATTTGAATTTGGCAAAATGAGGGATGTTGGTCTTTCACGGGAGAATTTTCATCAAAATGAAGCACGTGAGCCCTTTTTAGATAAATGGGGAAACTCAGTGTACACAGATGTCCCTTAACTTTGACAGAAGAGTTCACATAGAATTGATTAAGAAGTTACATTATGGGCCTTGGTTTAACGGCCCAGTTTCACTTCCGAATTCCAAATCGAGCGACTTTCCCAATGGTCCAATGTCAACTCGAGTGTCGTGATTCTCGTGAATAATTGTTATAGTTGGAAGGAGAGCCAAATCTCTGGCGGGGGGCGTCGGGGGTCCTCCGTGTCTACCCGCGAAAATGGGGGTGGATTGGACCCAACTACCACCAGAACTCGCCGAATCAATCTCCAAAAAGCTCACAATCTACGCCGACTACCTCCGATTCCGAGTTGTGTGTCACAGCTGGCGAGCCTCCGTCCCCAAAACCCCGCACCACCTCCCTCCCCAGCTCCCCTGGCTGATGCTCCCCCAATCCCAGCCCAACCAATCCCACCGGGCCTTCTTCAACCTCTCCAACAGCAGAGTCCACTTCCTCCACCTTCCAGAAGCTTCTCACCGCAAGCGTCGCTGCGGCTCCTCCCACGGATGGCTCGTCATCCTCGACGAAACACCCTCCGTCCTCCTCGTTAACCCCCTCACGCGCGCCAGGCGCCACCTCCCTCCGCTCTCCACCTTCCCCGACGTTGTTCGATTTGATTACTCTGAAGTTGGCCGAGAATACGCCCTCCGATCCCCGTCTGGTGACGTCTACACGCGCAGCCTGACCCAAATGCGCGATTCGTTTCTGAAAAAGGTCGTCCTTTCATCTAGTCCTCTGGAAGCCAACGGTTTCACTTTCACCGCCGTAGCGATTGTCAATCAAACCGGCGACTTGGCGTTTTGCAGGGAAGGAGACCAGTCTTGGACTTTGATCGACGGCGCACAGTCGTATTCCGAGGATGTCATATCTGTCAACGGCTTGTTTTACGCCGTCGACAAGAAGGGAACCGTGGTGGTGTGCGATGTTAATGGTCCGTCTCCGTCTAGGGTTGGGATTATCCGAACGCCGAGACTAGAGGAGGCCGACATGCGATATTTGGTGAGTTCAGGGGATGATTTGTTATTGGTGAGTCGGTATTTGGAGATTGATTACGGTTTTCTGGTGGACAGTATGAATGTAAATTACAAGACAGCAAAATTTGACCTTTTTAGGATGAATTGGGCGGGGGAGAGGTGGGACAAGGTTGAGAACTTGGGTGATAGGATGGTGTTTATTGGCGAAAACTCATCGTTTTCATTGTCGGCCTCTGATTTTCCAGGAAGTCTTGGAAATTGCGTTTATTTCACAGACGATTATTCGGAATCAAACAACGAGAGCGGAGTTGGGGGATATGATTCGGGCATTTTCAAATTATGGGATGGAACAATTCAAGAGTTGCCCCCTTATCCAGGGAATTCGAATTATGAGGTGCATTGGCCTGCCGGCTCTCTACCTCTTTGGGTAACTCCAAATCCATGCTGATGCAGTGAAGGCAGGTCATCATTTCAATTGAATGGTAATTAATCGCAGTTATCAGGTGTTAATCATAATGTTAAACAACGGTTTGTACATAATATATTTTCTGTTTCATTCATTTGTTTATGATGTGTGTTAAGTGTGTACACCCGCTCTTAGAATTCCATGTAATAATTGACTCTCTGCAGTAATCCGTTATATGTCAATGTTTAATAACTGAGATACCGCCGTTGTGTATCAACTCCCTGGTAACTTTAGTGATGTTTACATGATTTAAACTCTGATGCGTCACCGGATGTGTATCTCCGAGTACAAAAGGGGATATGATCCGGTTACATGGCAGATTCGCTCGTCTCAAAGGGATTGTGATGTACAATTACAGATGAAACATTATGGTGGTGACTAGTTTTCGTTTTGCAGAATAAAGTTCTGGAGCTCTGGTAGGGAACTGGGAATATTGGCAGAGGGATTCTCCGTTTGTGCTGAAATGATTTCATAATTGGAATTGAGCACCAAAGAGCTATGGTGATTTGCACATTACCTATTTACTTCACGTGCTTGGCCGGACGATAGGTTCCATATCTTGTCCTTTAGCTATTACAAGTGGCCTTTTGGGGCCGGTATGTTTGTCCCGGTTTGGTGCTTGTTAGTTAACCAAGACAAAACCTTTTTGTTTATTATGTGACATATAGGGAGGGCAAAAGCGATTTTGATTCTGTTTGACTGGAAAACTTACAACTTTGCTTGGCTCATTGAATCGTTTTCTGGATACGCACCTGCATCAACAAGGGCTTGGTACAATTTTTTAGTAAAAACACTTCTAACAAAAACGCATCGGAGAACAAGGGTTTCTTGCAACCGATTCTAGAGAGCCTAATGCGATTATGCTGCGTATAGCGCAAACATTTTAACTGAGGAACTGAGTACGAAACAGAAATCAAACCGGTTCCTTTCAAACTTGAACTTTTTGTACAATTTGAAGTTACTGTGAACAACCTAAAGCAAACTGGTATCCTCCAATACAGGTGCACCCTAGCTAGGCAATACAACGCATGGAGTACATGGACACAGCAGGCGAATCCAGCAAGGACGATGTCGTAGAAGACGCAAAGGAGGAAGGCCCGTAGACTCTGGGGTGATCACTCTCTAATCCATAGTCCATGATCGGACGGTACTCCAGCTGCTCATCGTAATCGTACACGAAATCCGGAACTTCCACCTCATTCCTCCGCACCTGAACCCACAGAAACTCCAGCCTTGTCACATACTTTAGCTTCTTGTACAACCTGCAGCACCACCAATAAAAACCACAAGCCACGCATCACCATCACCATTCAATGACATGCGCCGTGGCCCGTGGGTCAACGTTTGATAAAATTGTTAATTAATATTTGTCGTATTAATTATCATCTAATTAAACATGCATCGATGTTTTTTAATTAGTGTTACGTACGTAACGTACCCTCCGGTGAAAAGGAGACGACCAAAGGTGGCAAGGAAGAGCTTGGCCTGCAATCCTGGGTGGAGAAAGTAAACGGCTTGGAGGCGATCCTTGACGGCGGTCGGAATTGCCCCGTAGATGGATCGCAGGGTTGAAATTCCGGGAAAGTTGTCGCCGCGATTCACATCTGTGTGAACGTACACCACCGAGAAGAAGGCTTTGTCACCTAACTTTGGGAATATTTTCTCCTCCAAGTACTTGTTCACAGCCTCGTTGCTCACGCTTCGAGCTGGTCATGAACATTTAACATGATCAAAGTAAATTCAGAGTACCCAATTAGTGACGTCCTAATTAAGTAACAAATATTTGTCTGAGTTTGGTAGCGTCGGCTTATAACTAAGGAGGGCGCTAAAATGAAAAGGTATGGATTCTAGGGAATAATTACCTGGAAAGAACTTTCCGACGATGCGAAGAACCTTTCGACCATGTTTGTCCCGGCCTTGAATCTTAAAGACTTGAAGTTTCTCAAGGAGGTGTTGCTGGTCCGATATTGAGATTGTTGGTATGTAAGGAGGAGAAGAATAGTTCATTTTTACAAATTCTGAACTTTCCCGATAGACTCGAGAGAGTGCAGTTGTGGTTATTAATAATACAGTGGAATTTGCGAAAATTAAGCAGAATAATTTCTTGAAACGGAAATCCAAAAGTGTGAAAAAGTAAGAGGAAGGGATAAGGGTTGCTTTTGCTTTTGAGTTTTGAGAGGGAAAAGATGATGAAGTGTTGCCGCAAAGTGCAAAGCATGCAGGGTTTCTGTTTGTCTGGATTATATAGTGAGGAGAAGGAGTTGCAGGATTAGGGTATGGATCATGGGACCCAAACAAAAGAGCGCGATGGAAGATGGACGGTAATGATGAGGGAGGGCATTGAGGACAATGAGGAGGGTATATTCTTAAGAATCTTCCGAATGGATATTGAGCCGATCGAGTCTGGCTAACTCTGAATGCATGGTCTGACTCGGTGCAGATACTTTGCCAAGTTTGCAAAGTGCCAGTGGATGTGGAGTGCCCTCCCATATTTGGTCTCTTGGATCGTAATTCGTATGGATATTGGATTCAATGGATTGTTGATATTTGATCTACTTGTAATCGTCTACGTTCATAGTTGTGCTTATGATAAATACTAAGAGCAAATTACAATTCCATTACTTTGAAAAGGAAAAAAAAATTACAATTCCATCACCTTGTATACTTAGAAATGGATCTTACATATGAAATGCTAGATGCTTCCACTTATCCATTTAAATTTGGGAAATTTACGCGTCCAAGATAAATTAACTTTCAATCTTTGCAGTAGGATTAAGGAAACAAATCTCTAAATAAGGGATGTTAACCCAACTAGACCATACCATTCAAATCGATATTAGATAAATAAGTCCATATAAAACAAGTGTGTATGGTTGAGAAATGCAACAGATAAAGCGAGCCATAATGTTTTGGCAATGAAGAGACCCACTACTACCTGTTGAATCTCGATGGAAACTTTGCAAACCTTTCTTCTTCATAAAACACCAAACAACGCAGGCTAAATATCCAATTAATTAATGCTGCTTTTATTGAATATAATTAAACTAAAACTGTGGTATAATCATTGATCGGCAGGCTATAATCTAACGTATATACCTAGCTAAACGATATATACAACAAGGTGTAGCATGCATCGTTTGAAAGGTCCATGACAACTTCTTGACAATGTGGCTGGATTGTTAATCAAGTTTGGTAGCATTCCTATTCACTTGTAAGTGAAAAGTTTTAGATTCGATTTTTCGTCAAATGCGAGTTTGAACCGCATTGTTAGGCTAAGCCCACCTCCTCCCTTTAGTGTAGATAATATCACTTGTTCAAAAATAAAATTTTATATGTATGTAATGGGTTGCCCTTCCCTAAACAAAAACAAAAGAAAGGGCTGTTGGATGGTTGGACTCGGATCCATTATCCAATTGGGAGGAATGCGGAACAGAAACAGGACTCATCATTCATTTGGTGGGATAAGAGTCCCACTTCCACCATGCTTGTGTCGTATGGAGCTACGCAGCAAATATTAATATATTAATTAATTATGAAGTAAACGATGATAGAGGTCTCTATCAAATGAATATCTGAAATCCATTCTTCTAATCTATATAAGCGTTTGAAGTAGACATATGTGATGTATAGCATCAATCAAAAGAGAGGTTGAAGAATATAGGAAAAACATGAAAGGATAGGCCCATAGGGCCATTCCGAGAATCGAACTTGAAACCTCTCGCACCCAAAACGAGAATCGTACAACTAGACCAAATGCCCTCATCGCTACTTCATTAACTTTTGAAGTTTAATATTCAAGGTATTATAAGTTGGGGAACAAAACATGCTGTGTTAAGCCTTCGTCTAATGAGTGCAAGAAGTTGGAGTTGCTTCCAAAATGTTATGAGGCCTTTCGAGCACTGGATATTAAGCCCTAGATTACCATCCATTATCAGAGACCACAGATGGAATAATACTAAGCTGGGAAAATTGAACCCAACTATATGTTTTGGGCTATCGATTTCGGCTCAGTTTTAAGCCCATGAAGGGCAGAAGAAGATAACATGATTGCATCCGCCCCCTTGCATAGCTGCGTTAAGGGTGTGGGGAGAGTGGGGGATTTAAATAAAGTTATATAATAAATTGGTATTAAAATTGACATTCATTTGAGTCGAATCTAAGATTTTACATTAATAAGTGAATAAAAATATCATTACGCTGCAGTACTAAATGACAAAAAATTGGATTTACTTCATCCTTATGACTTTTAAAGGCCATAATTTCCTATTGCATCCCATTACAAGGGAATTTTTTACTTCGTTTGTTCGTAACTATAAATCACTATATGATGCGTACATAAAACTAACTCATTAAAATTTCTTAATTTCAAACATAACAATTATGCACACATATAAAATTACGGTCTTTTTTTCAAAAAAACTTTTTAATACCATAATTACAATTGCATCCCATTATTTAACTTAATTGTAAATCATTACTGGTCTGAAACATAGACATCATCACAACCCAGATTCGCTTTTAAGAAATAGAGGACATACAGTTGACCGGGCGGGTCTAGTGATTTTTGAGGTCTGGGAGGACGCCAAAAAAATGTGCCTTCATTTTATATAAGAAAATTATTTATTTTCACACGTAAGACATTGATCAAATTATACTTAAAAAATCATTTCAAATTTAATAATTTAGAAAACCGGAAAAACTATTTCATTTTGTATCGTGAGAAGGAAACAAAAAAACTTCAGGTTTACAAGTACATAAATATGAGTTTTGTTTTCTATCTTTTAAAATGTTTTTGTATAAATCATGAGATGTTTTTTCTTATTTACTAACCTTGTCAATATGGGATTAAAAAAGTAATGATGTTTTTTTTGTCTTTAATTGGTATGTATAAGTAATAAATGAGTATTAAATTAAACATTTTGATGACACGTCATATGATTTGCAAATTTGGTCAAAACATTTGATCAACGCATTACTCTTTGTTGAAGATTAGACTTGAATTGGAACAACTGTTTAAAAATAACAATTCACATACCTACTAGCTACTAATTAAAAATAAATTAACAACCAAACAAAAATTTGTAAAAATTGAAAAGAATAAACATGCACTTAGCATTTTGAACTTAGGACATCTTGTTAATTTTAAACAACAAAAACCATTAATTCTAATTAAACTTCTTGATTATTTAGCCAAATTTTATATATTTATACTCTTATGAAAAGAAATTTGTAACAATTGAAAGGGAAATAAGCACACATGATGTTTTGAACCCAAGAACTCCTCATTAATATCAAACAACAAAATCATCGGTTATAGTTAAATTTTTTTTGTCATTGAACAAAGTTTTATAAATTTATACTTTTATGAAAATATATATAAATATATCACCCTAATAATTTTAGTACTCTTAATTATTTTGGACCCTAAACGGTCGCCCTGACAGCACTAACCCTAGGCCGGGCCTGTACCCAAGGGGTCAACTACTATTCTAAATATAGTAAGCGGAGAACTATTGTTTATTAGAAGCGCCCGAGTGATGGAGTTGTTACATCATTGAAGTCAACATTAGTCAAACAATATTTACCATAGCTCTGGTTAGACTATATGTACTGTAGTGCTGGGGGTTGAGCCTTTTGAATTTTAAAACTACCTCATTAAAATCACACAAACTATATTTTAAACATATCACATTACGATTTGTCTACCAGAATAAAATTACTCTGCAAACATTAGGAGGCAAATGTTACTCCTACAGGATTATTAATGATAATTGATGAGTAGTGGAGAGATAAAATGAGACTGATCAGCGTAATGATGAAAAAGGTTTTCGTGAACAGAAATCTATTAAGATGTTTTTATAAAAAATAGGTATGAAAAAAAATTGAGCTAAAAAAAAGTGTGTTGTAAATATTTTAAAAAAAATTATTTTTATAGTTTTGAATGAAAAAAAAAAACTAAAAACGTGAAGTAGAAAAAATAAATTTATTCTTCTAGTATAAAAAAATATTTTTTTTTTCAAAACACAGAAATACCAAATCAGCCTTTAAACCACCTGCAGTGAGCACATAAATCCAAACATATACTACCTGGTATTTGCCAATGGATAAATCCGGGCCCCAAACAGCGTATGGACGGGAGTCAAATAGTCAAACTTAATCGACGGTCCAGTTAGCGTGCATGGATAAGCTCCCGGTGGGGTTGAATGCACTGGAAACAATCAGAGAAGGGTGGTCAGATATCTACCAGCAGATGTACGCCAAGATTTTGTTTCAGTCAACAGTTTCATAGGCACAACAGAATCCCCTCTCCCTCCCCTCGAGATTGCATGTCAAACCTCCTCTCTCGGACTTCGCACAAAGACAAGAGAGAGAAGTGAGGTTTCTCGTTCCTTCTCTCTCTCTCTCTCCTCTGTCCTCAGAGAGATATTACAAAGAGCTAGCTACTTACGTACAGCTGCAGAGATGTCAGTCTTCGAACAACTCAAACATTACCCGGAGGGGTGAGAGAGTAGAGAGAGACAGAGAGCAATTAGGCCATCTCTAACCGAGGGCCGGTAGCCCTCTGGCTCTCCAAGATTCTCCAAGATATTAATATTTTAATGAACAGTATAGGGCCATATTTGCCTCCGTCTCCAACCGAGGGCCAGAGGGCTCGTTTTAGCCCTGTCACAAAAAACCGTCTCCAACCGAGGGCTAAATGGCCATAGGGCCAAACATAATTTATTATTTAAAAGCTACAACTTAATTTTATTTAAAAATCATGTTGGTTAGTGTTGTATAATTTTTATGTTGGTTAATGTTATTTAATATTGTTTCATATTGTTTAATGTTGTTTCATGTTACTTAATTTAATTTAATGTTGTATAATGGCTTAGGAAGTTATAGGAAAAAAATAGAATTTAAAAAAAATATAAAACAAATTTTGTGAAATAGAAGTTATAGGAAAAAAATGGAATTAAAAAAAAAATATGAAACAAATTTTGTAAAACAGAAGTTATATGAAAAAAATATGAACCAAATTTTGTAAAATATAAGTTATAGGAAAAAAGTAGAATTAAAAAAAAATTGAAACAAATTTTGTAAAATAGAAGTTATAGGAAGTTATAGAAAAAAAAAAGAAAAAAAAAAGGGTTTACAACGGCTAGTGGCGCTAGCCATTGGAAGTTTAAATTCAAATTGTTATTTCTGTCGGTTATAACCGACAGAAATAATGTATATTATATTATTTCTGTCGGTTATAACCGACAGAAATGAGAAACATTAAAAAAAAAAATAGCCAGCCCGGGGCTGGCTGGTTGGCCGAAAGCAGCCAGCCCTCCAGCCCTCTCCGATCCCGTGGGGCCCTCCCAGATTCCCGAGCCCTCTGGCCTAGCCCTCGGTTGGAGACGATTTTAGGGTTATTTTCGACCCTCTGACCCTCTGGATCCTTCGGTTG